CCTGTTTGGGAGTCATTCTGCATTGCTGGGAAATCAGTCCATTCAACCTGTATGAAGTACGTAACTGGGTGTGGAAGATTCTCTCTGAATCATCAGATACCAGTTCCTACAGGACAATGAACTATTAGAAATGGAAAACAAATCATTGAAAAATACCATTATTTCTTCAATTCTAAGATGCCACTGATTTAAAGATACGCTGTTTAGTTTTGTGGAAAAAAATCATGAAATGGAACACACATTTCAGAAATGAAGTCTGAAAAATACTGCATCTTAGAACAGGTAGCATGACTAATGAGCTAATAAAGACACGACACCCTTCCTAGGAGATCGTCATTTGAACCTCTTTTCAACAAGCTCTGCGATGCTAAGTAAAACTACTCTGGGGCACATAGGTGAGCAGTTCACCTGTTCCAAGCACATGGAAGCCTAGCCTGGAAGAATGATGGCCACCTGACACCACACGTACAGGTGATCAGGCAGCTTTTAAAAAGTGCTTAGTGGAAAGCATTTGTTTTAAATATTTAAAAATTTTCTGAATTTGCCCAGTTGTAAGAATGAATGTCAAGTTGGTCCTGCCATAAAATATCAATCCTGTATTTCTGGGTGTAGCCACAGGGACCCCTAAGGCTTCTAACTGTATCCAACGAGGCTGCAACACAACCTCTCAGCTGAAGGTGGAAGGTTGGAGGCCCGTTAGGAGCGCTGATTCCATTAGGTGAGGAAGCAATACAAGCTATGAGCAAAGCAGAATGGAATGCTGAGGCTGAAGGGAACAGATTGTACTGGACCGGCCCTCATGCTAACTGGTGGTGGCCCTGTGAGATACCACTAGAACAGGCCATATAACCCTCCCTCCCCCATCAGACTTTTCACTGATTTCATCTTTGCTACTGGCACAAAATGCTCCTTTTGCTATTTTCAAATGTTAATGCTGAGGGAACTTTCTCCATCTTCCTGAACTGTTTCACAAAAGACAAGGTCCTCAAGATCACAGCTTTTGTACTTTTTCCTGAAAAACGGCTTCCATTTTGAGTGCCAGCTAAATTGAGTACATTTAAGGAGAATTTCATCTTACTGATTACATCAACCTTAAAAAATGGTTTGATCTGTAGCTCCACATGGACTGGGTAATACAGAAAAGGAGTTTCTGGTACTCTATACAATAGGATCTGGGGAAGTAAAATATAAATGATTACCGTCCATTTATCCTTCAACGAGATCAATCCGTTTTGATAAACAGTAAAATTCTAATGTTCTAAGTATTTTCAGCTAAACCTCAACCTGCCTATTTAATTTGTATAGTGCTTTTGATTCTCAAACAGGATTTCAGCCCTATGGCATTCATCACAAACTTCCCAGTATATCTGGTTAGGAGGTTCAACTCTACTTTATTCTTCCCAGCCATATGACCTTGTGCAAAGACTGAACCTGTGGGCTTCAGTTTACTCCTCTGCAAAATGGGGACAGCAGTGCTTAGCTCAAAGGAATGTTATGATTATGCAAAGGGCTTAGCACACAACATGCAAACATTTCAGTTCAACATTAGCTATTATCAGCATATCTGGACCCTCCTACCCTATTCAAATGATATAGATCTTGGGTATATTCAATTTCAGGGACTTTAATGTGGACACATCCTACACAGATGAACAAATTTAAGGAAAACATGCCTGCTTTTCTTCCCAGATCCTAACATTTTAAAGTGCACAGAAAATAGTCAAGGGTCAGGGCTCTAGGCACAGCACACACGCCAGTTGTGTGCAGGGAATCAGGCTTCAGGGGAACCTGTCCTTTTGTCATCTTCCCCCATATCCCTACACTCTCTCCATATTTCTGCTTATGTGCTGTAACTGTTTACTCTTGAAGATTTCCTCCTGGGACACCTTGTAAACATAACATTGTTCTCTTCTGACACTCACCACAATAGGCTACAGCTGTCTTTACATGAGGTTGCTACCCTTTAGAAGGCAACTTCTATTATTGTCTCCCCTGGGTCCAGTTAGCATGGTCTACACGCTATACTCACATCCTCTGAATGTTCATTAGATACCATTCTAAGCAAACCAAATGGGCCTTTATTATTTTGTGTGATTGTTTTTAACCACATACCTCAGTCATCCTTTAACACTTCAGATGATGTTTCAGAAAACGAGAAATGTTTTTGTTGTTTATTTTTTTGCCTAAAGCCTATCAATTTGCAGGTCTCCACTCTTCCCTGTGAGTGATGTGAGGAAAAAAAACCCCAGTGGTATGTTAACAGTAGCCAGAGAAATAGTGATTTTCCTTCTTTTATCATTTAAGACCTATTATAATATTTTAATTTATAAATATTCATTTTATATTGAAGTCTTCACTATCTTAGCAAAATCAGAAAAAGTGCTATAATAAAATGCTGTCATTAAAAAAAAAATTTTAAAGAAAACCCTTTATTTTCTAGATAAGCCTTTGCCTGATACCACTGTTGAAATTATATCATTTTGTGTTGTGTGTATATCATCCCAACATAAGGATATAAACTTTGTGTGCTAAAACGTGACTGACAACAACAGGACCGGTAAGATTTCACTCTAAGATCACACTGTACAGGGGCTAAGGTAGAGAAGGGAAAACACAGAAGTTTCATAGATCTTTCTTAGGGAAAAAAACCCTTCAAATCCAGCCAGCAACAGCAGCTAAAACTTATATAGCGTTTACTAAGTGCCTGCACATTTCACCTTAACCCTATGAGGTAGGTTCTGCTATCATCTTCATCTTACAGATGAGGAAATGGGCAGAGAGGTTAAGTAATTTGCCAAAGGTCACGTAAGGAATAAGTGGAAGAGCTGGGGTTCAGATAAATGCAGTCTAGCTGTAAGGACGAGTTATAATCATACCATAGTCTATATACTACATCAGTAAGGGAGTAAGTTGCTTTCTTGAACAAATCTCCTATTCAATGATATGCATATGGTTCAGCTGGAAAAATTACGGACCAATCACCATCTGGCTAGAACCTTTATTTTTTCAGAAATAGGCATCCTATGTAACTTGAGGTGGGGAGAATAGTTATTTATGGATTACTGTAGTAAATATTTGTCAAAACACCAACTATCTCAATAATCATACACTTATTTCATTCATAATAACTTCCAGAAATAACTCTTCTGTGTCAAAAAACTTATAAATGGCACAAGAGAGTTAAATAATGGCCTATGCAGGAGAGGAGAATTCTGCTAGGGGAAACTCTAGTGAAGCATTTTCTCCATTACATTTTTGATTGATATAATTCATGAAAGAAGCCTCGCTTTGCCTTCTTTTTTTTTTTTTTTTAATAAATTTATTTATTTAATTAATTTATTTTTGGCTGCGTTGGGTCTTCGTTGCTGTGCGCGGGCTTTCTCTAGTTGCAGCGAGCTGGGGCTACTCTTCGTCGAGGTGCGCAGGCTTCTCTTGTTGCGGAGCACGGGCTCTAGGCACGCGGGCTCAGTAGTTGTGGCTCATGGGCTCTAGAGCGCAGGCTCAGTAGTTGTGGTGCACGGGCTTAGTTGCTCCGCGGCATGTGGGATCTTCCCAGACCAGGGCTCGAAGCCGTGTCCCCTGCATCGGCAGGCGGATTCCTAACCACTGCACTGCCAGGGAAGCTCTGCCTTCCTTTTTTTAGTGATTCCTCTGAGAGGGAATGCAAGAAACTAAATCTGAGGGGGAAAACTGCTTTCATAATCTCAAGTGTAAACCACGAATAGGCTTTTCTGATATAAAAGTTAAAGCCTGAAGAGATAAGAAAGGCAAGCATTTATTCCTTTAAACATTTCAATAAATTTGCAAAAATATGCAGCAACTATGCACATATTGTTTGTATACTTAAAATGCAACAATTTTCCTGCTTCGAATATTTTTTTCCTGAGTGTTTTAAGGATATTTTGTTCTACTAGATGATTCAAAAGTAACACTTACACACACACAAAATCTATGTAACAGGAATTCTCCACATGATTAGCACTGTGGACTCTCCTAACAGTGTCAAACAATGAGAAGCCAAACATGATCACATCCACATCGTAAGGAGAGCCTGGAGAATCACTTATGTCTGTTTTCTGCTCAGTGCTTCTGATAAGTTCAGCAGATGTACAGCCATGACTTGTTTCCAAACATCCAGACCCCCTCACTGGCTCACCACAATTACACGAGTGCTAAGTTCTAAGTATTCAAAGAAAGACTGCAGGCGTTGCTTTACTTCTCTCTGGTCCCTTTACCAAACCCCTACATCACTTATGACATTACTTGTTAATATTCTGCAATCCAAAATGAAAAATGCAGGTACACAAGTTTGCTAAATTTCACTTACCCAAATAAATTTAAAAATAGATAAAATACTTAAATTCCTGCAACACAAAACTTGGTTTTCATATTCATTTGAACATTTTAGAATTACTCAAACACAAGAATTGAAAATGTGTGTGCTATCTGGAAGAGAACTACTGAATTTATTCTCCAGAAGAAAAAGCAGACCTGAAGCATCACATTACTGGAACACCTGAAACATGTTGACAAGTTCTTATCTTCTAAACTTCAACGAAAGCTGCTTGCACAAACTATTTAAAGAATATCTGCCCCTATTAAACAAGCCAGATATCTGATGTATTAAGGAAGTCAGAAGCTGAGTCACTTCATTTCTTTCTGTTGCCTCCAGTTGCTAGAATACTGGCAATTCGCATAAATATGTTTAATGTATCCATGTAGATTCCCAGCATCCTAGAAAAGAAATTATGCCTGTTAAATATGATGTAATTCTTGTAACAATGACAAAAAACTATTTCTTAATGTAGGAGAGAAGAAAGCGCAACACTGATTATTTGTCCCAGGTATATGAAATGGAAATTTTAAAAAAGACGCCAACTAAGGAAGTCCTAGACTAGAAAACTATCAAGATTTTTCTTTTGGCAGATTTATCTTTTAAGTGTTAAAGGGCAGTTTTAAAAATCTTTATATTCTCTGACACTCTACTATAAGTACAGTATCTTGCTTTAAAAAAAAAAAGAAATGGGTGATAGACAATGAAATAATCAAAACAAGAACCAAAGAAACACCTTCACAAAAAATGTGTCAGACACAAGTCTCGCATTTTAAAATATAACACACTCCCTCAATGCCTCCCCTCATTACCCCTCAAAAACCTGCTACAAATCTGTAAGCATTATAGCAATGTTTAAAAAAATCATTACATTAAGTTTTAAAGAAATAAAAATAAATTACTTAAAAAAATGTGATAGACACCATGAAACTCAAGGAAATTACTTAAATAAAATAACCTACTTTGGTGGAGAGGCCAAGGAAAAGAAAAAGCATTATTATACAACACTTAACATCAGCTACAGTTGAATATCTCCAAAATGGAATTTTCAATTTTTAATAAAAAATTAAAAATTGAAGTGTTTCCAATTTTTAATAAAATAGGCTTTTCTATTAAAAATTTCAATTATGTACACTTTCCAAAAGTAACACTTGACTAATACATCTTTTCTTCAGTTTTAAAGTCTGTTAAATATAAATTACACACACACACACACACACACACACACACACACATGCAAAATTAATTGACCAACAAAAGCACTATAAGGCTAATTAACAAAAATAGGTAAAATACTCTGAATCAATTGAATATATACCTAATTATTACACTTAGTTGCAATATAATCAAATGTTCTGTGTATACACAGCTTACTAAGGAAATAGAACAGACCAAATAATAACAGAAATAAAATAGTAAAATTCAGGTTGAACTCAAAAGATATGTTCAAGTCCTAATCTGTGGTACCTGTGAATGGGACCTTACTTGGGAATAGGGTCTTTGCGATTATAATTAAGATGTGAGTTAAGAAGAGGTAATACTGGAGAAGGGTGAGCCTTAATTCAATACGGCATCATTATAAGAGACAGAGATACAGGGAGAACATCATATGAGGACAGGAGTAAAGATTAGAGTAATATATCTACAAGCCAAGGAATGCCAAGGATGGTTGGCCATGACAAGAAGCTAGGAGAGAGGCATGGAGTAGATTCTCCCCTAGGGCCCTCAGCAGGTACCAACCCTGATGATACCTTGATTTCAGACTTCTGGACTCTGGAACTATGAGAGAATAAATTTCTGTTGTTTTAAATCAGCCAGTTTATACAATTTGTTATAGCAGTCCTTGGAAATTAACACAGTCATAAAACAAAATAGGCCGAAGCAACACAAATGTCCTCATGCAACAAAGACAAGACATTAAAGGCTACTTACGAATTGATGGGATCGTATTTTTGAACTCCATACACTGGTACTACTTCTGCACGCTTGATTACTTTCTGTGTATCATACAGAAGAAACATGCTGAAAAGAACTAATCCACCATAAACTGCCACTGAGTACAGAGTGGCGCCAGCCACAGTGGTAGGTGGAAGAAACATAGATCCTGAAATCAAAATGGGGAAAAAAAGTTTTTCTGGGAAAAAGGATTTTTCTGTAACTGGATTTATAATCAGCATCATTAAAAAAAATTTTCTTCTTTGGCATGTTGCACAGATAAGGAAACATCCGAGTAAGTGCTCTAATTTTACATACATTCAGTTCAAAACCCATTATACTCATTCTTGCAATGGGTCACTTGCCCACATTATAGGAAAGTTCCTGCATCAGAGCAATTTTCATGTTCTCCAGACCATCTTTCCCATTTTACATGTATTTGGTAAAACCAATAATAATGGTTTGCCATGATGCCAAACGAGCAAATCCAGTCAAATTAGCATATATGTTTTAACCAACTTTTAAAAATGACACTTATTAAATTCCCTCCATTAGGATACCTGAGTATGTCAGATGATTTTAGGACATCATGAACCAAGAACCAAGCGTCAAAGCACAGTGGCTTACCTAGTGAGGACACAAAGACGACGCCCAGGCCCACGCCCAGGGGTGCTCCCATGTTCAAAAACTTCTCACTGGGTGCACACATGGCCACAGTGGAGAGGCCTCCCACAACACCAGCTGTGTACCATGCAGCTCTGATGAGAAGAGGCCCCCCTAATATCGTCAGAGGAGCCACCACTGCACCCATCACACCTGGAGAAAAGAGCAAGCAGGCAGTTAAATATTTACTAAATAACAACCAAAAGGAAAATGCTTCTTCTAACTAACATGCCATCTGAACATATTATAGCTTATAGTTAAACAATATGATTACAAAAAGTCTTCTCCTTATTTAGGTGACACTATCCCCAAAACCCCACAACTAAAACTTGTACCTACCCAAATTCTAAATCACAACTAACATGATTCCTAGTCAATCAGTCAAAACTCACACAAGTATAAACACTAATCCAGAGTTTTAGTAACTATGTCAAATTCAGTGTAGTTCATTATTTGGATCTGAGTCTACCAATAGTCTTTATAACAATATTCACATTTGGAAGAACTGAGATGAAAGGCTTAAAATAACTGAAGGTCAAATCTACTGTGCTGAAAGAGAACACAGTAAAAGGAAAGAATAAGTATATGATGCTAATCTTAAAGTAGGAACTTCACGGACAGATGCTGCTGTTACCTTGTGTAATAGGGAATGTAATCACAGCTTGGAAAAAGCAATTTTAGTTGTTAGATATTTATAAACATGTCCACCCAAAGTATAGTAACAATAATTTCATTAGCAAAGGTAAATAGAAATCTTTTATTAAAAAAAACAGATCTTAGATAAGGCATTCTTTCCGTATTGAGTGAGCTATACCCTTTTCTTTTCTCTTTTTTTTTTTTTGGCAGTACCATGTGACTTGTGGGATCTTAGTTCCCCAACCAAGGATCGAACCTGGGCCCCCTGCAGTGGAAGCATAGAGTCCTAACCACTAGACAGCCGGGCAATTCTCAACTATACCCTTTCTTAAACATTAAATGTGCATAGTTGAACTCATGGAATAAGCACAGAGCTACCTTCACAATGAAATTTTAATACCAGTGTGTCTCTTGAGACTAACATTTCTAGATCAAGTAATAGGGCATATTTTATCACATGATGATGAAAAACTAAAACATTTTTTGTTCTAGGAAAGATATTGGATAGAAATTCATCTGTATGACTGACATTTCTATCAGAATTCCTATCGGTTTTGCAACTGACAGCAAAATTTTAAGAAAAACTTTCAAGGAGATTATTGAGATTTTTTCCAATGATACTGATAAAAATCTTAAATGGCAATAGATGTTTGCTGCTTAAGGACAAATCAATTACAAAACTAATAAGAATAGCTCAACATTATCATTGTGAATGAAAACTGCCCTTCAGGAAATTAGTACATCCACTGGGGAAAACAAGTATGACGGTTCCTCAAAAAATAAACACAGCTATCATATGATCCAGCAATCCCAATTCTGGGTTTATAAGCAAAGGAACTGAAATCAGGATATGAAAACAACCCAAGTGTTTTGTCAATGGATGGATGGATAAAGAAGATGCAGTATATATAAATAATGGAATATTATTCAGACTCAATGAAGAATGAAATGTTGCACTTCTTGACAATACAGATGGATCTTGAGGGCATTACGCTAAGTGAAATAAGTCGGACAGAGAAAGACAAATATCATATGATCTCACTTATACGTGGAATCTAAAAAAGTCAAAGAGAGAAACAGAGCATAGTGGTGGTTACTAGGGGCTGGGGGGAGATGAAAATGCGGAGATACCTGTCAAGGGGTACAAGCTTCCAGTTTTGATTAACAAGTTTGAGGACCTAATGTACATCATGATTACAGCTAATAATACTGCATCATAAACGCTGCTAAGAGAGTAGATCTTAAATGTTCTCATCATAAAAAAGATACGGTAAATACGAAATGAAGGTTAGCTAATGCTATGGCAGTAATCATTTTGTAATATATAAATGTGTCAAATCAACATGTTGTATGCCTTAAACTTATACAATATCATGTATCAGTTATATCTCAATAAAGCAGGGGAAAAACACAGAAGAGACTAGCTTCCAGCGAGCGTTTCAGTAATTCTTGCACAGTATCACTTAGGCCTGATTGAGACCGTAGCTGTGTCCACAAGGTATTAAACATCTGTATGAAAAATGAAAATAGAATGCATTGGGATGTTTATCCTTCAAAACCTGGCTTTGATGTCTCTTTGACTCTGTGAGTGGTTGCCCTTAGGTCATTCACTTTGGATTAAAGGGGTCTGAAACTCCATCATGCCAGTGAATGAAGAATTAGAGAGTTGGACTTTAAGAAATAACATTGGGGGCTTCCTTGGTGGCGCAGTGGTTAAGAATCCACCTGCCAGGGCAGGAGACATGGGTTCGAGCCCTGGTCCGGGAAGATCCCACATGCCGCGGAGCAACTAAGCCCGTGCGCCACAACTACTGAGCCTGCGCTCTAGAAGCCGCAAGCCACAACTACTGAGCCTGCGTGCCACAACTACTGAAGTCCATGTGCCTACAGCCCATGCTCCACAACAAGAGAAGCCACTGCAATGAGAAGCCCGCACACCACAACGAAGAGTAGCCCCTACTTATTGCAACTAGAGAAAAGCCTGCGCATAGCAATAAAGACCCAATGCAGCCAAAAATAAATAAATAAATAATAAATTTATGGAAAAAAAAAAAAGAAAAAAAGAGAAATAACATTGGGGGGCGTCAGTCTTGACTGTGGCGCTTCCTGCTGTGTGACTTCACCCAGCCTCAGTTTCCTCATCCATGAACATATGGACAGGCTAATGCCTGCACACACAGTTTCCCAAGACGTTTATGAAGAATAAAGCAAATTCTGAAAACAAATTAAAAAAAGAAAAAAATGGCATTCATACTGCACAAGAAAGGGTTATTAACACAGCAGACCTAAGCCTACCTTTACAAAGACCTGCTTGCAAGGTTAGTCCTTGGCTGGCATCTGAGAACTTGGCACTGGAACCATTCTCTAACCTTAGGGTTAGACTATTTATGCAAAAAATGAGTTATGCTGAATGCCTGCTTTCCTTCTGGGAGTCTGGATTTTGGCAGTTGCTAGGAGGGTCCCTAAATGGTCAGCCCCCAATAAAAACCTTGGGCGCTGAATCTCTAATGGGCTTCCCTGGGCAGAAACATTGTACATGTTACTGCACAATTTGCCTTCTTGCCACATGCCCTCAAAGGAAGGAGTCAGCACTGAAAGCCTGTGTGTGGATTTCTCCACACTCTAGACTTTGCCTGTATCTTTCTCCCTTTCTGATCCTGTTGTGTATCCTTTCACTGTAATAAACCTTAGCTCTGAGTATAACTATATGTTGAGTCCTGTGACTCCATCTAACAAATTGCTGAATGAATGGGTGGTCTTGGGGACTGCCCTCCAACACACAAAACACCCAGAACTGGGCTTCCCTGGTGGCACAGTGGTTGAGAGTCCACCTGCTGATGCAGGGGACACGGGTTCGTGCCCTGGTCTGGGAAGATCCCACATGCCGCAGAGCGGCTAAGCCCGTGAGCCATGGCCGCTGGGCCTGCGCATCTGGAGCCTGTGCTCTGCAACGGGAGAGGCCACAACAGTGAGAGGCCCGCGTACCGCAAAAAAAAACCAAAAAAACAAAAAAACACCCAGAACTTAAGTAATTTATATGTTACAATGATATCAGATAAGAAGAGGTTTTCTAAGCAACACAGGTAGAAAGGCTTACTTATTCTAGCTCGAATTAAAACTACATAGCTACTTTAATTCAACAAGTGGATCTACTATTTATCAGAGATAAAATGACACTGAACCTGTTTATTCAAGGAAACAGTGTCTAAAATGGGAAACAGGTGTAGAACTCTATTTACTGGCTAAGACGCTGAATAATCCTTGAATATTTATATGGCACTAAGAGATATTAAATTTTATAGCAAATGCACACACTACGTTTTAAGTAATTTTTTTCTTAAAAGCAGGTTACTGGTATTAGAAGAAAATATTGGGACCATCGCCCTCCCAACCACAAAAGTTCTGTCTTGTAAAGGTTCATGGAAAATATCTATGGTTGAATTACCTAAGACCTAATGGAAGAGAGGCTTGAAAACCAAGGTTGGGAAGTCATGCTCTCTCACATTCACCAAAACAAAGCCAGCACATGAAGAATACAAATGATGTATTTCACACTGGAAATTCATCATACTGGGTACCCCAAAACTAATTTCCATTTACTAACCCACATTAAAAACATTTCAGTCTGTCTCCCTGGAATTTTCATGGAAATGCTTATAAAATGTCTTGGCTTGTGGTAGAGATCATGCATCTAAACCATTTTTGTTTCTGCATCTGGTGTTCTTTACTCAACTCAGAGGCAGAATACCCTGGGATACTTGCAATGGAAAATACTTTATGTAAACTTTAAAATATTTGTCTTTCCATAATTAAGGAAAATATTACACATACCTAAAGGAATATTAATATTGTTCCGCAATACCAGGGTTGGACAGCCTCTGTCCTGCCCACAGTAACTTTGTGCCAAAAACTATCTACTGACCCAGCTAACTGCATCACACATAAAAGTGAATTTCCAAAGATCTTTTTGACTGCTTTCTTCTTCCCAATGCTCCACTGCAAAAACCTCTGCTCCTATTCTTTCACACATCTTACGTCCTCCTTCTCTGGTAGAGACCCCCAGTTTCTTATTTTTCTAAAGATATACAACAAGAACAATTCTCAAGTGATGTGTATCAGATCTGAAATCCTCCTGGTATTAGACAAAATACATAAAAGGAAATCTCTGCATATATTAGACTGTCACCAGAGGCAAGTGTAATACTGGGGCTGTCTATGGTCTTAGTATCAGAATCATTAACTTTCCAGAGTGGAGATCTGGCAATAATACTACTAGGAATAAGTGCAGAAAACCGTAAGTATTTAGCAGACATGAGGCTTAATTAAATTGTGTACATATCATTTACGACTGTGAAGAGGCATCAAAAAAGGCAGTATTTAAGATTGTTTAACAACAATTGTAAAACAGAACATACCAGAATGTAGTAACCAAGCAAGATGCTTTGGGCCTGGGCTCTGGTCATATGATATCGACTGGACCAGCATTCCAGCTCCAATCATGGCTGCAAAGGTTGCACCAATTGTCTGAAAGACATGCATTACTAAGAAAAATTGATCCTTATACAACAACAAAGTAGAAACTCACAGGTTCCAAGTCCAGTTAGTCCCTCCAATAAACCATGTTTAAAAAGATGAAGGATAATAAACAGAATCCTATATTTTTCTAGCACATTAAAAGGCCTTGTGCTTATTTCAGTTTGGTCAAATTAGCAAGAGCACCCCCTACTATCATACATAAAGTTTTCCAGACAACTTTAAGTGAATAAGTAGAGCTTTGGCAGATAACATCATCTTTAAAAAATTTTATTCTTGTTAGACAAAGGTATAACAAAACCCCTTTAAAAATCCCAGAATAATTATTTTTAATTATATTTATTTTGGTATAGCACAAGTAACATTAAAAAAGTCATGATACACCAATTAGAATATATATATATATATATATATATCACATTGTCTCAAACTCTATATTTGCTAAATGAAAATCTGAAAAAAAGAAGCACATGGAAAAGATGAGAAATAAGATTCTACATTTCTATCCTCCCAATTTTCTGGCTGAATTGGCCCTCATCCCCTTTCTTTGTCTATGTTCGATTTCCACTGTTATACATTTAAATATTCCTTGTGCATAACAAGGAAGAAATGTTTGTAATGAAAGATGATAATCAATCTTCAGGAAATTTAAAGCAGGAATTGCAAACTTGCAGCCCTTGGGCAAGATCAGGCAGTAGATGTTTTGTCTGGCCAACTATTCAAAAAACAATTGAGCGTGAACGCATTTAGCTGGAAGGCTTTCTCTAGATGCCAAAATCCCACGTGACATACCAGGCCTGCCTCACTCATCTGCATTACGTCTAACCCGTGGGCATCTGAACGGTCAACCTCTGAGGTAGAGTACAGGTAAGCATTAACAGCTGTTTTTGCTGAGAATGCGAAAGCCTTCACTCCTAACACAGGAAAGCACGCTGGGTTCTACTTCGCCACCTTCCAATGGAGAAACAGTTACTAAAAGCGACTTCATCTATCTCTGTGCAAAGCATTTGCAGGACATTTAACACAATTATATATTTTTCTTTTAAAGTCCTTCATCATCCAGGTTCATCTTTTGCCTTTTACCTTCCCATACTCTACACTCCAGCTACACTGAACTGGTAGGCTGCAAACATGCCCCAGTTTCACATCTCTTTAATTTTGTTTATTGTGCCTAAAAATACCTCCTTCCTATCTGGTTGACATATTCAAGGATTACCTCTTTGCCTGTAAAGTTTTTCTGGTAGGTACCCTGGCTGTAATAAGCAGTGTCAGATGTCTCTACTCTGTTCCAAAAGCACTTGGTACAAACTTTGACATTATCTGTGTGTGTCTGTCACCTCCCAAAGGCTTCTTCCTCTCTGTAGCACCTGTCTGGCTTTCTAAACTTTTACTTAAGCAGCCCTAAAGGCAGGTGAGACTGATCTTATGCCCACAAGCACCTGAGAATATGGCCCAAGCACAAAACCTCCTTGAAGTCTTATTTTAGGGGCTAAACTCTTTTGTATATTTTAATCTTTCATGTTTGCTTTATTACAAAAGCATTGCTTTAAATTGTTTACCTCTGATTAAAACTGACATACCTGATGAGAATGCAACAAGTTGATTCTGTGCCTTCAATAACCTCTAGGCTAAGAGATTCATGACACCCATCTGAGAAGCAAGATCCTAATGCTGAAGTGTCTAAATGGCCACACAACTGCAAATGGTTCTCCTTTTGGAAAGTACAGAATAGTGGAAACATTACAGATTTGGAAGTCATAGGGATTTGGGTTGCCCATGGGAAGAATCAGTGGGAATTTGCTGTGGGAAGTGTGTGTTATATAAACTTTCCCATCTCCCATTCCCTTCCAGTCTCACACTCGTTGCTCTAATTTGCATTACCATCATTTTAGACCTTGAAAAGGCACAGCTGGTACACCTGCTTCCCGTCTCTTCCACATTAGCTCTTAAAGCTCAAATACAAATCATACTTTTGCTGTTCTAGTATCTGCAATGGCCTCTAACCGCTTAGGTGCTCTCCTCAGCTCGGCAATCAAACACACCCTTTCTAATTGTGTCTTCTTCACACTCCAGACCTCAAACACTTAAGCTTCACTAGAATGGGATTATAAAGTCACTTGTAATGACTACCTCCTCTCCGTTGCCCAAGCTGTTTTTTTCACAAAACACGACTACCCTGTCCTCTCCTGCTAAAATAAAAAAATGCTAGTAAAACAACAAATGCTCAAGAAACTCTCACTGAATATAAAACCTTACATATGGTCAAGAAAAGTTCGGAATAGTGCCAGCACTATTCTACTCTTAGTAGTATAGAGAGCTTGGGTTTTTGTGACAGCTATTCTCCACTAACCTCTAAGATGGATTTTTTTTTAACATCTTTATTAGAGTGTACTTGCTTTACAATGGTGTGTTAGTTGCTGCTATATAACAAAGTGAATCAGCTATATGTATACATATATCCCCATATCTCTTCCCTCTTGCGTCTCCGTCCCACCCTCCCTATCCCACCCCTCTAGGTGGTCACAAAGCACTGAGCTGATCTCCCTGTGCTATGCGGCTGCTTCCCACTAGCTATCTATTTTACATCTGGTAGTGTATATATGTCCATGCCACTCTCCCACTTCGTCCCAGCTTACCCTTCCCCCTCCCCGTCCATTCTCTGCGTCTGCGTCTTTATTCCTGTCCTGCCCCTAAGTTCTTCAGAACCATTTTTTTTTTTAGATTCCATATATGTGTTAGCATACGGTATTTGTTTTTCTCTTTCTGACTCACTTCACTCTGTATGACAGACTCTAGGTCCATCCACCTCACTACAAATAACTCAATTTCATTTCTTTTTATGGCTAATATTCCATTGTATATATGTGCCACATAAGATGGATTTTCATCTGCCTTATTTTTTAGTAAATTACTACAAAATAGAGCTGTTTGATATCTGCTGCTAGATAAGTAGAATGTTCCTGTAAGTTTGGGTTCCAACATCTTTGCTGCTACTAAAATACATATTCAACAAGGAATAATAGCTTACTTGCCTAAGAAGGTATTTCCTACTTTGTTTCAGCTGCACTAATAATTCATATATTACTTGAACAAAGATTTGTTTAATATAGTAAGGTATTCTTTCCATTTAATCCCCTCCTCCGATAGTTTTCATTTAATCTTTTGCTATTTAGTGGGAAAGGAAAACAAACACAAGCTAACTTACCACCCAAGAGCCTCTCATCATGAAGTTCATGAGGGCAGGAGTTCTATTCACTGCCAGGGCAGACAAAGCTGTTATGCCGATACTTCCTGCTAAGTACATATAGGTGGTATGAATTCTATCCTTCACATACTGAGGCCAAATTCTGTAAGAAACACAACACAGTTAATCTATAGAATTATGAATGTGAATTTTGGTTGAATCATTTACTAGGTGGGAGATCTTGAGAAATATCACTTTATTGCTCTAAATCTTATTCCAGTATCATGGAAATAATGATGCATGTTGGAGTTACCATAAAAAATTAAGTAATATAAAACATATAAGCACTTGGCACATATACAAAACAACACATTTGCTTCTTGCTTAAACATATATAACCTTGGTAAAAGATCTTTATTTATTGTTTGAATAAATATATGCCAAGGAAATGAGAGATTCTATTTTTATTCATGTATATTTCCACACAGCTGGAACACTGGACACAAAATATTCCAAAAGTGGTGAAAGATAAGGATGAGAAGAAAACTGGAACCTTTAAGGCGCGAATTGTTTGAGAACAATTTACTTACACGGCTTTTTCAAGAGCTCCAATCTCATTAGACATTCCCAAGCCATAGTAGCACAAAGCTCCAAGACCAACAGCAGCCCCTCCAGCAATAAACCATCTTCCCATCTGATCAACTGCAGAACACAGGAGGAAATGCAAGTTAATACTGCTGTCTTGACTAAAATGATTAGACTTAATTAATCTTTAAGTTCACTCTAACAAAATTTGCAGAGGTGGTGTATCTGTAGATGTAGGGGTACTTCTGTGATATGTTATTTTATTCATAAGAGATGTGTGTTCTCGTGACACTCTTAGAAAATAAAGATGAGAAAAACATGTTAACATCACGTTATATTTAATATTGTGTCTAAAGTGCTATTAATTAACAAAGATGATGCTTTACATGGAGTCAAGAAAAAAATGAACCAAAGAAAAATGTAATTAGTGTTTATGTAGCAGGATCAAGGGAGAGGGTGCTCTTGTTTTTTAGAGTACCGAGAGGAAATAATTTATCAACTCTTAACTGGATGGAGGTATTCACAAAGAGCATCTTGCTCCCTTTAGTCAAAGTTTGTTCCCTAAGAATGTTACTACACTGCTGCTATGATCCATATAATTTGGTTTCTAGGGCCAACTGACCAACTGAAATGCCCTGAGGGATGCCAACTAGGGCTCTCTCCCATTTTAAAATACAGATGGTCCCCAACTTAAGATTTTTAAAAAACGATATGCATTCAAGTAGAAACTGTACTTTGAATTTTTTTTTTTTTTTTTTTGTGGTATGCGGGCCTCTCACTGTTGTGGCCTCTCCCGTTGCGGAGCACAGGCTCCAGACGCGCAGGCTCAGCGGCCATGGCTCACGGGCCCAGCCGCTCTGTGGCATGTGGGATCTTCCCGGACCGGGGCACGAACCTGTGTCCCCTGCATCGGCAGGCGGACTCTCAACCACTGCACCACCAGGGAAGCCCTGTACTTTGAATTTTTAATTTTGATCTTTTCCTGGGCTACTGTCATGCAGTACGATACTCCCTTGTGATGCTGGGCAGCGGCACCCAGTCAGCCAGTTGATCATGAGGGTAAACAGCCGATACACTTATAACCATTCTGTACTCACCCAACAATTCTATTTTTCACTTTCAGGATTCAATAAATCACAGGAAGGATTCAACACTTAATTATAAAATAGGCTTAGTGTTAGATAATTTTGCCCAACTGTAGGCTAATGTTAAGTATTCTGAACATGCTTAAGGTAGGCTAGGCTAAGCTATGATATTTGGTAAGTTAGGTATATTAAATATATTTTGAACTTCAGGACATCTTCAACTTATGATGGGTTTATCAGGACATAACTCCATTTTAAGTCAGGGAAGATGGGTATTGACCTTTTGCAAGGCTGGTAAGGAGCAGTAGTGTTCTTTGATTTTGGGTAGATTACCAATCTAGATTCTGAAATTACAAATCTGAAATCCAAACTGTGAACCAAACTGATGTCATTAGGGTATTGCTTCCTGAGAGGCCCTAAATGGGCAGCCAATAAAGATGACCCCTCTTGAACAACTAGCTTTTTATTAACATCTATGTTTTGGTGATTTACTCTTGACCTGAAACATATACAAATATTATGTTTGCAGTAAGATTCTATGTGACTTCAAATGAACTTCAATAACAGATTATAACTTTCAGATCATGGCGCATTAACTAATAATCCTTAAAAAAAATGGTGAAAGTAAAATTTTTTTCTGGAAGAAATGTGACTGGGGACCACTGAGCTCAGTGTGAAGTACCAACCTTTTCAGGGTCGTCAGATACCTGAGGATGACTGCCCTTCTTCTCACAAAATGCACATATGTACAAGTTTGCATATACTTTAAGGAGGCTGTTCATGGACCTTTTTTTAAAACAGGAGTTTACTAAAGGCTGCCACCTACTTTTAAATATTTTTTCCAATGATGGCTCCAAAGCTGCCTCCTTGAGTTCTTGGCTAGTTTTCCCACGCCGAATTCCAAGTCTTGTCTTGGTGGCATATTCCTGATACACATGGAAACAAAGACACACACCACCGACACCAAAAGAATGTTAACAACAAAATAAAACAGAGGATCTCATCACCCTAGAAAACTCTGTATAATGTAACTTGGTACTTTCTATGTATGTAAATCATACATACTTCACTATGAAAGTATGTTAGCCAATCTAAAAAATTAAATGTAGACCCTACCTGTGCTCTATCTTCGAAGTGATTCACTAATTCATTACAACCTAACTTCTTAGTTCAGGTTTCAGAACTGTTTATTTCATAAACTACAAATTTTATTTATATCTCTAGAATTATCATATTTTAAACACTAACTTTTAAAAGATACGCATTCAGTAAGTATTAGCTGCATTTTTTCATCTGGGAAATGGGCTCAATCCTTCCTTTAACACAAAGCCAAAGGGACGGATGACTACTACCTCTATTTTAGCTCTTTTTCAACAGTGGAACAGTTAATTTAAGAGAAAAAAGTTGTCGCTTCTAGCTTCTGTGTATTTCCTTATCTACCTCACATTTCAAAATTTATACTCCTAATTTGAATGCCAGAGCAGAAATCTACTACAAAAGGAAATGGGTTTCTAACTTGACAGATTTTGTTTTACCATTCTCTAAACAAGAGCTGAAATGACATGTTTAGTAACTTATTAATAAGTTATTGGCCAAATGGTAATATTCTTAAGCTTTTGACAATAGGCTCCACGATCTCTTTGTTGAACCATACAGCTCTCAATCCTTCACAAATTACTCTAAATTCTCTGAATGAGAAATTCCAAGAGCTGTAAGTAAAGGAGAAGTTACAGGAGTTCTTTTTCATATATGATAAGGATGGAACAGAACACTAATAGGGAGAAAGAGCTGATTTGGGACATTTTCAGGGCTGTTTCAGTAAATCACTAACGGTAGAATAGGGAGCTTCACAATCTGTCAAAAAAATGGTCCCAGGAGCATACAGAGAGACAGACAATATAAAAATATTCAGATTTTCTTTACCCTGCTGGGTGGTAAGAGCCACTGATTTTTCGTGATGGAATTCTTCACAACAGGGGAGGCCTTGGTGAGAGCTGGGTGGAAAACCCTGGAAGGTAGTGTCCGGAGACACACAAGTCTTGCGGCCAGCATGGTGGTGCACCAGGTTTACCAAGCAGATCTGAAATGCTAGTTAGAGACAGAGACAAAAAATCACCCATTAACCAACCCACTGGCTCTAAGAAAGAACCAATCATCTCTTAGGAGAAAAGGTGAAATAAAGTGACCTTTTAAAATGATAATGATGAATACTCTGCTTGTCCCTTGTTAGTTCAAGAAATCCATCCCACAGAACTGGTTTGGGACGGACCACCAAAATGGGTTTAAATCCCAATCGGAACAATAACAAGAGGAATGACTTTTATGTGTCCAATACAGAGTGGATTTAATATCTTAAGAGAATTAAGGGGTGTGTGATGGATTTTATACATGTGGTTTTGGCTGAAGATTTATACCAGCATTCAGCGGGAAAATTTAAAAAAGGGCTAAGGATAACTTTGAGCAGAGGAAAAATGTCATCCAAGAAGTGATTAACTCTTCAAGGTCATACTACATTGCAAGGTTATAAAACATCAGTGGAAACCAAGCATGCCAAGTATTACTTCCCTTCAAAATATGATATAAAAATATTCAAGGTATTGAAACCACCTGGGATGTATCTTAAAAATGTAGATTCCTAGGTCTAACTTCGGTCCTAATGATTTAACCCCTAGGAATAGGCCACAGTAATATGTATTTTAACTAACACCCCAAAAGCTAAGAATCTTTTCTTTTAAATATCTATCTGAGTGTACTTTCAACTCTGCCACGGGATCTGCGAGGGGTGTACAAAACTGACACCTATCCTTCGGAAAAATAACGAATCATTCTAGCACTTCCGTGGCATTACATCATCTCAGCCTAAAGGTGCTGTGCCTCTCAGACCTGGGAATTTTACTTCTATCACAGGCTAGAAGTGGCCTCGTGCGAATGTTTGATCCCTGAGACTCAGGTGCCTTAACTACAAAATGGGTACTATTACCGACCCCGGACGCTTCCGTGTGCATCGATGAGCTCGGGCGCCTGGTCCCCCGAGAAAGTTCAGCTAGATCACAAGACTCGGATGAGAGGCCGGCAGCAAAAACTCCAGCCTCTCAAAGTCAACGCACGACTCTACAGCACACCAGCCGCAGGCACCCCCTTATCTACCACAGCGCCGCCTGGGCGACCCGGCCGCGGGGATGATTCAGCACCTCGCTGCCCAGGGAGAAGCAAGGCAGAGAGATCGGGCCCCTGCCCGCCTACTCCAGGCCCCGAAGTCGCCGTCCCCTCCACCCGGTCACCTGCAGGACGGCCCTGACGCGCCGCCAGCCCGTGACGCAGCCCGCAGCGCCGCCACCTCCAGTCCTCCCCATACGCACGCAGCGGCCCAACGGGGCCGGTTGTCAGTAGTACGGTGGATCGCGGTGCATCACGGCCCGGGGGAGCCTTACCTCAGTCCCTGGTCAACTCAAGAGCGCAGGTCCCCTTCCGGGCCGGCGAAACGCAACGACTCTGCCCACCTCTCGCGCCCTCTGCCCACCTCTTACTGATTGTGAGCGCAGTCTCTTTAGCTCGCTGCGTGACGCAACATCCGGAGAAGTCGCAAACACTACGGACAGCTAATCATGAGCGGAGGCCTAACGGAAGGGCGGGCATAGTAGGAAGGAGGGGTTCCGAGCTGTAGGGGCGGGGCCAGTGGAGGATTGTTGGGAGCCTCGCAGTCAACGTCCATCGTGGGTGTGGGCAGAGAAGGCATTTCAGCCATTTTAGCTCTGGGTAGCGGAGCTCACCTTCGTTTTTCTCTCAACAGTTTCACTTGCAGCAGTTAAAAAATTATTTTAAAATTGAAAGAGGATAGTATGAGAATTAAAAATTATTCATTCGTCCCGTTTCTTTCCTCTTGTCAATAATTTATTGCCAGATAGTGTGCCAAATTGGCAGTTTCAGACCGGAGCCAGCGGGTTTTTTGCGGCAGATGTGAAATCTACAAAAGGGTCTGAGTCACACGAGGTCGGAGAGCCGCCTGGCCGGATTTTAGGAGTTCTTTCATTGCTTTGTGATCTCCCCATGACACATGTTCTACTAGTATAATAGGTTGGTACAACAGGCTCTGCCTCTTGCCCAGGGTTGTTTTGAGAACTATTCGTATGCATGTAATTTGTAAGTTGAAAAAACGTTTCTTGGCTACGTGAGGAAGATTTTCCCCTCCTATCATTCTCATTTACCCGTTAAACAAATATTTACTGAGGCTCACTTTGTACCAAATTCTGTACTAGGGATACAGACAAATAAAAGACATATTGTACCATTGTTTTGGCAAAACAAACTCCTTGCCCTTATGGCGTTTACTTTCTGGTGGAGACAAGAAAATAGACAAAATGTTTGTTAGTGTTAAGTACTAAGAAGAAAAATAAATCTGCGTAAAACCCTAGACGGGCGCTATTTCGATAAGGTGATTAATAACATGTAAAATTCATGAACCTAATCTAAACTGTTAGTTGTGATTTACGATAATCCTCTAACCATGTAAATCTTGACAAACAAAAAGGTTTGCGTTTTATGTGGGTAATAAAACAGCTTGGCAGCACACAGGTCTTATTTACTCTGAAAATGGCAGGAAAACACTGGAGAAATCTGTCGCTTGAGATAGTGAACAGATCGAGCATGATCAATTTAATCTTACTTTAGATCTTCACCCAATTTAATCAGCTAGCAAATAAGTTCTCTGTTTAGTTCCCTTAGTGCTATTTTTCCCCTAGAGCTTCTGTTACCAGCAAAGAGGAGGCATTCACAACACAGTACCTGAATAAACGAAATACCTTTTTAAGTCTAAGTGAATTGCTTCAAGATTATTGATTAAAGTTTATTATCTTCAAAAAAGAAGAAACATTTCTGATTTCATGATTTCTTACCTATGGGGCTAGTGTTGTTTTCACAGCTGTTAAATGTTTTGAGGCAGGAGAGTTAGCTTGTCACATCCTTGGGAAGATATGCTTAAGTGTGGAGGGAGGAGAGGTTTCATTGACTTTGAAACCAATTGGGAATTTACTGCAATTGTTTAAGCAAAAAAAGTGATGAAGGCTGGAATTAAGACAGAGGGACAGAGAAGGGGTGTCTGACAGAGATAAACGACTAAGGAGGAATTTACAGGTTTTAATGACTGATGACTATCACTGATAAGGATGAGGGAGGCACCCAGGATATCCCTCTGTTCTGAATTGAGTGAAACTGGGTGGATAATTGCACCATTAATTTAGAGATAGATTACAGGATGAGATACAAATGTGGGGGAAGTAGATTAAAACTCAGTATGAAGTGTTAAATTGTAAGTTCTCTGCTTCTAAGACCTTGGAGCATAGGACAGATAAGATAAAAAGTCATGAATCACGAATCCTAATGCTTTATATACACTACAGTTTTTATTAAAGGCTGCTGACTGGTTTCTTATCCTCCACTTGCTGGCTAAGTGGAGAGTGGGTTATAGAGGAGAAAAATCAGACTCGAGGACTAAAAATATTTTATTTCTTTTTAGTTAAAATAAATACCCTCACCCTCTTACTGAAACCGAGCAGGACGCTGAAGGGCCCTCCTGGGTGCAAAAGCCTTTCCAGGTCCCTCATTTCTTATTTGCAGGATAAAGGCTTCAGCCTCCTAGATCTTCCCTGAGCTCCGAAGAACAGATTCAAACAGTTGCCAATCAGGGAAGTGGGGGAATGCAGAAACAAGGGAGGAGCAGTGAAGAAACAATAATGCAGCCTTGGGGCAGGTTGCTGGTTCCTTCTCATGGAATGTACATAATATCTTTTAAGTTCCTCTGCAGGAACAAAATCTCCCACCCATGTGGAGGATGGTTACTTCAGGCTGAGCGCTTGATTCCTGGGGCATTGCCCTGTTGCCTCACCACCACCCATTCAGAAGAAAGTCACACACCCTGCAGCCCTCCCCCCAAATTTTGCCCATTAAAAACTTCTCCCTAAAAACCATCAGGAGTTCGGGGTTTTTCAGCATAAACCACCCATTCTTGCTTGGCCCTGCAATAAACCTTTCTCTGCTTCAAACAAATTTTGGTTTGTTTGGCCTTACTGTCCATTGGGCACATGAACTTATGTTCAGTAACACTACTAGACTTTTCCATCAGGATATGTGGTATGGCTGAAAGAGAGTTGAAAAGGGAGTTTGTGACCTTTATTCTCTGCCTTCCCCAACGGGGTCTTATGTGGTCACCGTGTTTCCCAACAAAGGTGCTCTTCTCTGAAAGTTTGGTGACATTTCTGAACACAGGGAACCAACTTCTCAAATAGTGTTTAAGTGGCAGAAAACAAAGCAGGTATGAAGGAGTCAAGATCTTCCTCACCCTGTTTTCTCTTGGTCTTAAATTTTGCTATGTCAGAGAGTCCTAGAATCCCTGAGGCCTGGATAAACCCAAGACTGTAGCTGTGAGCATGCGCCAGCTTGTTTGTACCCTTCAAGACGCTGCTAAGTAGTGAAGGGGACACCAGAAATATGCATGGGCAAGACACCCAGATGGGCATCAACAGACCATGGCGTGTTCTACATGACAGAGCCAGCATCTGACTCTGTCTGGGTCAGTGACAAAACTGTGCCAACCTCAACAGTTAAATCCTTCCAGCAACTGAAGGAAAATGAAGCCATGGGTGAGAAGGGGCTGCTCCCTCGGAGATCTGCTGAAGGCATGTACCCGAGAGCCAGTACATGGAAGTAGAATGGAGGGATAGAAGACAGGCCACACCTTTTTCCTCTTGTTTAACATGGATGTTTCTTCTTTCTTTCTTTTTTTTTTTTATAGTAGTGCTGCTCTTTATTTGTTTGTTAAAAAAATTTAAATATATTTTATTTTATTTCTTAAAAATTAAAAAAATTGTATACAATTTTTAAAGATTACTTTCCATTTGCAGCTATTACAAAATACTGGCTATATTCCCCATGTTGTACAATACATCCTTGAGTCTATCTTATCCAAATAGTTTGTACCTCCCACTCTCCTACCCCTATATTGCCCCTCCCCACCCCCACTGGTAATCACTAGTTTGCTCTCTATATCTGTGAGTCAGCTTCTTTTTTGCTATATTCATTAGTTATAATTTTTAGACTCCACATGTAAGTGATATCATACAGTATTTGTCTTTCTCCATCTGACTTATTTCACTTAGCATAATGCCCACCACGTCCATCTATGTTGCTGCATATGGCAAAATTTCATTACTTTTCATGACTGAGTAGTATTCCTTTGTGTATATTTATATATCACAACTTCTTTATCCATTCATCTGTTGATGGACACTTAGGTCACTTCCATACCTTGGCAATTGTAAGTAATGCTGCTATGAATATGAACAGTGGAGTGCATGTGTCTTTTTGAATTAGTGTTTGTTTTTTTTTTTGATACCTACCCAGGAGTGGAATTGCTGGGTCATATGGTAGTTCTATTTTTAGTTTTTTGAGGAACATCCATACTGTTTTTCACAGTGGCTGCACCAGTTTCCATTCCCACCACAGTGTATGAGGGTTCCCTTTTCTCCACCTCCTTGCCAACATCTGTTATTTGTGTTCTTTTTTTAAAAAATAAATTTATTTATTTATTTGTTTATTTATTTATTTTAGTTTTGGCTGTATTGGGTCTTTGTTGCCGTGCACAGGCTTTTCTCTAGTTGCGGTGAGGGGGGCTACTCTTCATTGGGGTGCGTGGGCTTCTCATTGCAGTGGCTTCTTTTGTTGCGGAGCATGGGCTCTAGGTGCGTGGGCTTCAGTAGTTGTGGCATGCAGGCTCAGTAATTGTGGCTCGCGGGCTTAGTTATTCCACATCATGTGGGATCTTCCCAGACCAGGGCTTGAACCCATGTCCCCTGCACTGGCAGGCAGATTCTTAACCACTGCACCACCAGGGAAGCCCTTGTGTTCTTTTTAATGATAGCATTCTGACAGGTGTGAGGTGATATCTCTTTATGGTTTTGATTTTGCATTTCCCTGATGAATAATAATGTTGAGCATCTTTTCAGGTGCCTGTTGGCCATCTGCATTTCCTCTTTGGAAAAATGGGAAAACTGGGCAGCTACATGGAAAAGAATGAAATTAGAACATTCTCTGACATCATATACAAAAATAAACTCAAAATGGATTAAAGACCTAAATGCAAGACTGGATACTATAGAACTCCTAGAGGAAAACATAGGCAGAACACTCTTTGACATAAATCACAGTAATATTTTTTTGGATCCGTCTCCTAAAGTAAAGGAAATAAAAGCAAAAATAAACAATTAAACTTTTAAATTTTTTAAAAAGCTTTTGCACAGCAAAGGAAACCATTGACAAAAAAAAAGACCGCTTACTGAATGGGAGAAAATGTTTGCAAATGAGATGACCAATAAGGGATTAATATCCAACATATATAAACAGCTCATACAATGCAATATCAAAAAAAAAACCAAATTAAAAAATGGGCAGAAGAAATGAATAATGTGGATGTTTCTAATCCATATGGAGCCCAGCAGAGGAGAAAGTGCTTTGAATTCTGGTGGAGGATGGTGATAAGTCCTAAATATGGCTGGTAAATTGT